TGTGAGTCTGGAGGCGCGAGCGAGCAGGATGCCAGCACGCCTGGCGCGCGCGCCAAACCCACTCTTCCTTCCTCGTCAGAGTTGAAGCGCGTGGTGTTCGACACGGCCAATACTACGTCCTGGGGATCTCTCAAAACATATTTGCAGGACGAGGCCCAGGGGACCATCGTTTTCCTCCAGGACTTCAGCTTCGGGGAGCCGCCGTACGAGGGGGTCAACCAGCTGAAGAGCATAGGGTGGAAATCGATCGTCAATCCCAGTATCCCCACCCTGGGAGGGGGACTCAGCAGCGGTACAGGAATTGCGGTTCGTCCGCACATCCCCATTGGAGCTTTGCCACTCGCTCGCCCCCTTCCTCAGCCTGAGAGGGCATGCTCCGCGTGGGTCAACACGTTCGCCCCTGGAGGCCTGGCGGTCTTCTCGCTTTATTTAGATTGCAACGGCCCGCTAGGCCTCGACTCGATCAGGACTTTGAATCGCATAGGCGAAGAGATCCACCAGCTGCAGATTCCGTTCATCATTGGAGGGGATTGGAACACTCACCCATCACAGCTGCTCAACACTGGGTGGGCTGACAAGGCGGCACAACTTTGCATTCTAGCAGACCCACGTGCGGCAAGTCGGACAAGCAGTGGAGGACCATCGATTTCTTTGTTGTCTCGCGGGGCCTCGAGTCCGCCACACGCCAGCACCACATCGCGTGGAGAAAGATTGATCGCAACGAGGCCAGCACCACATCGCCCCATTACGCGGTGTCGTTGGAGCTTGAAGGGAATCCATTGGAGGCCAAGGTCAAGGTTCTGCAAGGGCCCAAGCCGTTCCCGAAGGAGCGCCCCATGGGCCCCTACCCGACTCCCCCGTCGTGGGCCCCCTGCAGCGACATCCTCGACAGTCCCAATGTGGCCCCTTACGATCTGGACCAGGCTTATGTTCAGTTTTGCAAGCTCTTCGAGGCGGAACTCAAGAGTGCCCACGGCGTCGATTCCCTGGACCGTACCTATTCTGGCAGGGCCAACGGGCTCAAGTTTAAGGGGGTTTCAGCTGTGCGGACTTCCGGAGGAGATTACCTTGTTTCTTGTCCTGAAGGCCGTGCTTGGAGGAAGGTGGCTACTTGGTTTCTGCAGTTGGCGTGCCTGCTCAGGAAGGACCACCCGAGGGACCATCCAGAGATCCTCTCGCTGGGCTCCAAGTTGGCCTCGGGCCCGAATAAGCTCCTCGAGAACCCCGAGTGGAAGCACTTGCGCGCGCATTTCCAGCTCGGCTCGATCGAGATTAACCAGTTGCTGCAGTTTGCCGCTGCGTCCAAGCGCCAGGCAGAGCTGTTCGAACGGCGCTTCCGCACCAAGAGGGCCAAGCAGTGGCGGACTTGGGTTGCTAAATCTCTCGAGGGAGGAGGAGGCCTGGCGCACCGGTTCACCAAGAAGCCTCGTGGGTTCATCCCCGACAACCCCGAAGGGGGCCCCCCTCCCAGCCTTGAGGAGCAGATGAGGTGTCTGGAGGAGGAGTGGAAGAAGATCTGGACCCCTGCCCCTCACGTTGCCAACTTGCCCGGCCCCATCCAATACCTCAGCCAAGTTATTTTTCGGTCTGGAGAACAGCCTCTCGCTCAGGCGTCTCCTGAGGACATCCGCGCTGTGGCCAAGACCGTCAAGGCGCTCGCGGCCGCGGGGGCAGACCGCACCAGACCGCGGGACTGTCTGCTGTTATCCGACGCAGGCTTGCAGTGCCTGGCGAGCATGTGGTTTCACATGGAGCGCCTAGGCCAGGAAACCAAGAGCCCCTCCATCACATCCTGCTCGCAATGATTCCTCGTGACGACGGGGGTCGCCGACCTATCGGAGTTCTACCAGGAAACATTCGCATAGTCGGTAGGTTTTCTCGGATCGAAGCCAAGAGATGGGAGGAGGCCCATCTTCGTGCGTATCAGTTCGGCAGCATGGGCAAGTCGTGCGAGAGGGCTGGGAGCAATCGGTTCGTCTCGAGCATACGCACATATGCAAACATCAATCTGCGCACGCCCTGGTTGACATGACCAAATGCTACGCAAAGGTGCCCCACTACCTCCTCGCGCGCTCGGGGATTAAGCACGGCTTCCCAGCGCGTCGGCTTAGGTCCCTGCTTGCGCTGCATCGTGGCAAGCGCTCGCTGCAGTTTGACATGCGAGTAGCAGCAGACATTTATGTCGAGCAAGGGGTCCTGGCAGGCTGTTCGTTTGCCACCACTCTCTTATTTTGTTTTTTGCTCGACGTGTGGGACGACGCTGTCCGCCTCTACCCCAGCATATCTGTCTACAATGTCGTGGATGACGTTACTATAGGAGCTGTGGGTAAGCGTAAGCATGTTACCCACATGGTTTGGGGAACCACCAAGTTCATCTGCGTCCAGCTCGAGGCTTTGGGGTTCACCATCTCGCCCACCAAAGGTATCGTCACGGGCTCGCCGGCCCAGATCGCCCAGGTTATCCGCGCGGGTCTCTTGTTCTGGGATTTCAAGGGCATGGGGGCCACGAAGAACCTAGGTGTGGACTTCGCAGGGACTCCCAGGCGCTCTGCCAAGGTCCAGCAGCGACGTTGGCAATCCCTACTCCTGCGCATCAGGAGGTTCCGTGGTCTCAGGTCGACCTTGTCGGGCACGCACAGGGTCATCGAGACGGGTGGGGCCCCAGCGGCCCTGTACGGCGTCAGGGTCACTGGCGCGGCCCCAACCCAGCTGGCTTCTTTGAGAGCCATCATCGGAGATGCGGCATTCGGCCCTGCCAGGGGCCGTAGCAGAACGATCCAGTTCCTTCTCAACCAGGACCACAAGTCGGACCCCACCTACCAGGCGAATCTGCTCCCTCTTGGAATGTGGCACCAGGCTATCCAACAACGATGGCTTCCCAGGTCCATGCTTAGCAGTTGCTGGAAGCGTTACCAGTCCTCCAACTCTGCTGGCAAGTGGCCCAAGGTCCTCGGCCCAACGGGCGTCGTGCTGGCCACTCCCCCGCGTCTCTGTTGGGCGGGGGTGGAGTTCGACAAGTGGGACATCGGGGGCGGGATCTTCATCGACCTAGGTTCCTTTGGTAGGCATACGGTGGCCACCTTGATCGAGCAGGCCACCTACCGCCAGTTGCTGCGTCATGTATCCATCCCGAACGCGGCTGGCCAGTTATGCCCGCCTCTCATCTCAGTGGTCCGAGAGGAGCTGCAGGCCTTTCGAAGTAAAGATAATGTTGACGCCGCCATCTTCCTGAGCGGAGTGGTTGCAGGAGGGTACCCGTGCCAGTTGCAGTTGTTCACTGACCGCCGTGTGCTGAACCCCCACTGCCTCCGCTGTGGCCAGGCCCATGGGACCCCCAAGCACAGGCTCTACGAGCGCCCAGGCTTCCACCTCTTCCGTCGAGATCTCGATTTGGCCGAAGTCGCCCGAGAAGAAGTAGGTAGACCCGAGCAGGGTTTGTTGTGCACTAGGGCCCTTGGACCCGACCCTGGGGCCGAATGGCCCCCCCCTGTCTATGGCCGATTCCAGGCTCTGGCACCTTCGCCCGTCCTCGGGCCTCCTTGGCCCTCGGCTTTGTATTGACGGGTCGGGTCTGGACCAACGGAACCCTTTTTCGGCCAGAGCTGGTCGGGCTGTTGTTAGCATGCAAGAAGTAGGAGGCCCTGACGGCAGTGTCTTTGGACCCCCCCCCCCCCCCCCCCCCCCCCCACCACACACACACACACACACACACACACACACACACACACACGCACACACACAACACACACACACACACACACACACACACACACACACACACACACACACACACACACACACACACACACACACGCACACCCACACACCCCCTTCAACGAAGCGGTGTGGGGGGGGGGGGGATGTATGCCCTCATCATGGCCATCCGTCTTGCTGCCCCTGGCCTCCTTATCATTTACTCGGATTACCAAGCTGTCATTGACATTTGGACAGCTGGCCCCAACGCGGACCGCTCCCATGTCGCTTTCGCTGAGTTGTGGGATGAGGTGTTTTTTTTTCAGCCACCGACTTCGGACTCGAGAACATCGAGCTCCGTAAAATCAAGGCCCACCTTTCCTGGCAGGCGTGCTCCCGAACCTCCAAGGCGCCGTTCTGGGCATGGTCTGGCCACACGCTCGCTGACATGCTTGCTCAGCAAGGTGCCAAGGCGCATGTTTCGAATCCCGAGCTTGTGCGCAGGCGCAAAGATAGCCGCGATTCGGTCCGTTCCGTTTGCAAACTCATTGGCGCCTTCGGTAATCATTTGTCCAATTTCAAGTTTCCTGACGTCCAGCGGGTAAATAAGCCCCGCCGCCCGACGTACAATGCTTTCCAGCTCGTCCCAGACCGTCAAGGCCACGTTCTGCAGCGAGTGGGCAAGTCTTCTCGAGCTTTCATTTGCGCCCGCTGCGGAGGTCGTGGTCTGTCTGAGCGTGCTGTGTGTGCTATGCCATGCACGGGCCTCCCACGATTGGCCCGCCTGGCCGACAAGTCTCATCGGCTCTGGCTCATGGGTTCCTCCCTAGTGTGGTGCTCTATGTGTGCAGCCTTCGGGAGTTCCAGGCTCCGCTTGCTCGGTGGTCCCTGCCGTGGGAACCCCCGCAACAAGGACGGAGAGAATACCCTGAGGCTGCTCAAGGAGGGGAGGGATCCTTCCACCAACCGAGTGGTGGGCAGGAGCTTTCGCCTCACCATCTCTTAATTCACCCCCCTTTTTAACCCTGGGCGTCGTGTTTCATCTGGAGGCAGACGTTCCGCAGCTTGGAGGAGCTTGAAGGAGGAGGACGAGGACGAGGAGGGGAGGAGGAGGA